CCAGTGAAACAAAAAGTTCGGTGAAAAACAAAGCAAAAAGGAAAAAAAACTAAGAATACTGAGAAAAATCGACAATACCAAACAACACTATGTAGCATGCATGGCTAGGCAGTAAAGAACAATATTCCAGGTTAATCTCAGGCGCACTTTTTGTCAGGCACGGTGTCGAGGACACCAACCAAACTGGCCCTTGATACAGTAGTTGGCCTTGTCTCGGTTCGTACTACAACAGTGTACGGCGGCTGCTCGGATCGGCGATCCAACGGAGAAAAGGAACTCCTGTCGATCTGGCTTCTTACGGCTGCAGCGGAATCAATCTTCGATCCGGAAGATTGTAAGGCTGCGGCGACGGACAGACGCAACCCTAACTTCTCTTGAACTCAAATCTCGTATAAAAATTTGGCTTTTTATAGGGAATTGCCTGTTTTCAGCCGGATGTAAACATTTTCACGCCAGCCGCCTTCTACTCATGACACGTGTCTCCTACTCATGTAGCGAGTCAAACTAGAAACCCGTGCGTGTGGTTGGATTCATAGATTGGCCACTAGTAGTATTAATTAATTGTGATTAATCGCTGGAACTATTCCGGAAACTGATGCATGCTACTAGTACCACATCATACTAAACCAAGCGATCGATCCAGCAAACTGCATGCAGCATCGCCGGAGCATTCTGTAAACATGTGTTGCTGCAAACAGCGCGCTTCCAACGGGTGCTACGACGACATCTTGGCTGCTTCGGCGATGTTGTGACGACGTGCTTCGACGACAATGAAGGTGCAGGGATGGCGGCCCGGTTGCTCCACGTGCTTCGACAGATCTTGTGATGGCGTCTCAGCTGCTCCGGTGATGCTGTGATGCATGCTTCACGGCGTATGTGCATCGACGGCCATGACAACGAGGCGTACATGCTGCGACGGCGTCGACGGCTACGGTGATGCTTTGGCGGTTGGGGTTGCGACGCGTGATTCGACGGCTATGATGTGATGCGTGCCTCAACTGCGTACGTGCCATGACATCGTTGACGGGTGCGGCGACGCATCGACGGCCACGACGGTGAGGCGTACGTGCTGCAACGGAGTCTATGTCCACGGCGATGCTTTGACGGCCATGGCAACATTGCTTCGACGGCCACGACGGCGAGGTGTACGTGCTATGATGGAGTCGACGGCCGCGGCGATGCTTTGACGCCCATAGCAACATTGCTTCGATGGACACGACGGCGAGGTGTACGTGCCGCGATGGAGTTGACGGCCGCGGCGATGCTTCGACGGCCATGTCAACATTGCTTCAACAGCCACGACGTCGACAACCGTCCTGCGACGCATGCTTCGACGGCCATAACAACAATGTTTTTGACGGCCATGACGTCGACAACCCTCGACGCTGCGATGCGTACTTCAATGGCCGTGGTGATGCTTGCACCGCCACGACGACGAGATGTATGTGCTGCAATTGTGTTGGCGGTCACGGTTGTGCTTCGACGACCACGATGATCAGGCGTGTTGCGACAGCGTAGGCGGCCACGGCAATGCTTCAACAGCCACGACATCAACAACATCGTCGATGATAACGATGATGCTATCATGATGGCAGAGCTGTGAGCCATAGCCCCGCGGTGCTGCAGCTAGTGATGCGATGCTGACAATGATGCTTCAAATTATGTCGCAAGACGACCGACCGATGATGTTGTCAGGCCTGCTGCGAGCTCATGAACAGTACTGAGAGTCCGGCGGCAAAGCTAGAATGGCCGGGCTGGGCGATGTTGCCACTGTAGCCGACCGGGTGCTACGCGTGTGGGCGAAGGTGCCACGAGACGTGTGACAGCACTGCGATTGTCATCGATACTTTTGAAGCATTTCGTGAGGCTGCAGTGTTTTGTAAAGGAGCGGACGTGTGAGGTGAACTAGGCAAATCAATCATCGGTTACACGCATCGCAATCTAACGGCCATCAAGCCGGCTGCAGCTTGGCCCGCTACAGCCGGATGACGCATAGCATGCGTCCTCTTTATACCACTTGTTAGATAAAACAAGAACGTTTGATCCTAAAAATCGGAGGCCCCTGCGTTGCTCCCCACGAGCAAGTCTAGTGGCAACCAGCCTTGCCGACGCTGCCCTTCTCCCCCCTCCCCCTCCCCCTCCCCCTCCCCCTCCTCCTCCTCGTTGCCGCTAGAGAGGGCCGAAGGGCAAGCCCTCAAGGCTCGCGATCAAGGGCTCCATCGGAGGCGCAGTTGCGAGACGGAGACATGAAGGCATGATTGAGGCATGGCGGTGGGCATGCTCGGGCCATGCATAGTGCTCCGATCAGGAGGCACGTCGTCGTTTTGGCGGTCGATGCACCGCTGATCTAGCGGGCGGATGCACTTCACGTGGGCGCGTCTCGGTGATGGAGATCTACCTTTCGTGCTCTAGATCTGGCCATGTCGGCCCATAGGGGGTGTCGGCGGTGTTGTGCTTTGCCTTCAGTATTGGTCCGAGTGGTGACCACTCCGGCCTGCGGCGGCGGCCTCACTGCGGATTGCGGTGGCCACTAAAAGTCTTCATGGGGGTTCTCCTTTCATATCATGGTTATCTTCGACGATGAGATGCAATCTACGAATGACGGCTTGACGCAGAGGGTATAGTTGTGCAGCGGCGGCGGTCGCAAATGGCATGTAGCTGCTGGGATAGCGGAAAAGTGGCGGCGACAATATTTGAGTAACTTTGATGTGGTGCTACTCAAGCACCCGGTCTCGAGCTCTGGGGTGAAGACCTAGGTCCAACCCGATTTGGTATACCTAGCAAATGCGATATTTTTTGCATTGCTACCTTGTTCAAGGCATTGTTCGGATATGCTCGAACTAACTCTTCAGGACGAAAACCTAGAATTTGACCTTTGATGGTTAGATCCAGTGATGATGGCGCTTGAGCGGCACTCCCTTCCTGAAGGTGTTGCTGTTAAAGAATATCGGTATCTTTATGGTGTCATGAGATGGTTGGTGTGGATAAGGTGGTTGTTGTAGTTTATCAATCGCAGCATTCATCGCTTTGGATTTTTTTCTCGCCTACGCATAGCTTTAGTCTTATATGACTTTGCTATTAGCTGGCGTTTTGTTAAGTATGTTGGTGTTGGCTGTGTGCACCCTACCTATGCAGAGGCCAAGTGTGCGCTCATCGTGACAATATCCTCTTGGCACTTCATTTTGAGTCAATAAAATCCATCATTTATCAAAAAAAATATAAAACGAGAATAAATGAGACACGAGAGACACGGGTTTAATGTGGAAAACACTTGCTAAAAATACCACGAATACACGAAGGCACAATTCACTATGACGGGGAAGTATTACAAGCATGAGATAACAGACCGTCTTTAGGTGTGACTACATGTGGTCTATATGAGAGACAATATATAAGAGTCCTTAAAGGACAAGTAAATGAGTTGTACTCACAGCATCGACATAAACGCAACGCCCCACACCGTCTGTACTATGTCTAGTCCAATACTGTAGTAGAATTCGTATCGTAATTTAGAGCATCTCCAACAGCCGCGCCAAAAGACGCGCGCGCGCGATAAATTGACTTTATAGCGCTCGCGGGACGTTTACGCGCGCTCCAGCGGTGGCGCGAAACTAGCGCGCGGGAAACGATTGCGCGCGCGCGGGAAAAGGCGGCCGCTCGCGCGCTACATTTGGCGCGCCGCGTCCGGCGCGCCTATAAATTGCAGCGCCTCCGCCGCTCTCTCCATCGCCCTTTGCCGCTCTCTTCGTCTCTCCATCGTCCCCCTGTCGCGCTCTGCCGCCGACACGCCACCACCGCGCCATGATGCCGCCTCGGCGCCGGGGAGGTACGGGCTACCGCGGCGTCCGCGTGCGTCCGTCCGGCACCTACTCCGCCGAGATTCGGTCGGTTGGCGGCATGCGGCTCTGTCTCGGAACTTTCGACAGCACTCAGGAGGGCGCCCGCGCGTACGACGCTGCGGCGTGGCGCCTCCCGCGGTCCCGTCAGGACATGAACTTCGCCGACGTGGCGACGCGGGAGCGCGCACAGGAGTTGGCGCCTTTCCCGCGGCTTCTCACTGACGAGGATCATCGCAAGCACCGGAGTCGGGAGCATCGTCTCAGGCTGGCCGAGATGGACGAGCAAGCCATGGCGCTGTGGAGTCATCGCTTCCCGGAAGACACCAACGAGGAACAGTTCTTCGCCCAGAGGAGGGCGAAGAGGAGAGAGGAGCGAGCCGACTATCGCGAGGACAAGCGAACGCGGAAGGCGATCGCTAAATACAACCAAGCGCTAGGAGATGTGTCCTCCTGGAACTCCGGCGACTAGCGGTTCCTTGACGCCTACGCTCCGACGTCGGAGGAGGACATCACTGAGACAGAGTCCGAGTCGGACGAGTAGTAGTAGGAGAACTATCTACGAAACCAAATATGTAATAGAAGAACTATCTACGAAACCAAATATGTAGTAGAAAAAACTGAAATATAGCGCGCCTGCTGGAGCGGCGTGGGCGCGCTTTAATTTGCGGCGGCCGCTGGAGCCAGCGCACCGCTACACACAAAAGCTGGCTAATCCGACGCTGTATTGTGACTTTTAGCGCGCGGCGCGCTTGCGCGGCTGTTGGGATGCTCTTAACACTCTATAGCAGCCAGCGTCAACAGCTCCACGTTCACATGTTTGTATTGTACTCCCTCTGGTAGTAGTATATCGTACAGTGCACATCAACCTTACCTACTGTAACTTTAGCGTTAGCAGCCATGCATAGATACAGCCGGCTAAGAGTCTTCATGCACAAGGATCTTACCTACTGTCACTTCAGCGTCAGCGATGACGTGCAAGGACACTTTCAAGTTTCAACTGCTGGAAAATTGTTTGTCATTCACCACCAACCTGGGACTTGTCTCCGTCGTTAGTTATCTGTATGTACACAGTATAAATGCAGGTTCTCTACACAGTGGCAACATCCGGAGCAGTGAGGTAGCCAATCGTCGTTCTCTTCGCCGTTAGAGGTACTGATCGAGATGTCGGGGAGCGAGGGGAGGAAGACGGCGTGCGTCACCGGAGGGAGCGGCTACATCGCTGCAGTTCTCATCAAGCTGCTGCTCGAGAAAGGCTACGCGGTTAAGACGACGGTCAGAGACCCCGGTTTGGTTCTTGTTTCTTCGTTTCTACTAGTTCTGTTTCTTATGCACTCCAGCAAACTTCCATTCAGAGTTAGGTTCTTTGGACTCTGACATGTTCTTTTTATGACTGCAAAACATGCCTTCCAAGTTCCAAATCAAAGTGTTTTGCGTACTATCACTTATGCTGAAACTGCTGAAAACTGTTTTTGATCCAAAATTCCCAAGACTCTGAAGATTCTGTATTTTGTATGAAGATGACATGGAAAAGAACTCCCACCTCAAAGATTTGCAAGCGCTTGGCCCCTTGGAGGTCATCGGTGCCCAACTGGACGTGGAAGGAAGCTTCGACGAAGCGGTTTCTGGCTGCGACTACGCCTTCCTTGTCGCTGCCCCAATGAACATCGATGCAGCAGATCCTGAGGTAAACATCCATCTCCAGCGATCTTTGCTTTCATTTGCACGATCGCTCTTCGATCTGGCATCTGAATATCTGACGGTGATGTACGGAGTTGGGACTTGGACACAAATTTATGTTGTCAGCTATATATCACGTGATCTCTGGCAAATTATTCTCAGCCAAAGAATTAGACTTGGGACCTTGTTCACCCTGATGTCACATCCTTCACGTGGCCTTCTGATCAAAAGCCAACGGCGCACTCCGCAGCTGACAGAAAACGTGATGTCGGTCTTTTTTTCGAAGGGTTTTTATCATTTATGCCACTAGTTGTGTCTCATTATTCAGTTTTGCCATTAGAAGTTATAACTACTTAAAAATGCCATCAATCCATGAGATGCTTGCTCAAAAATGCCATTAGATATCTTAAAAATGACATCGTTCTGTTAGATGTTTGTTCAAAAATGCCATTAGACATTGTTATTTTTACGTCAAACCTGTTGACCATGTTCTATGGCAAAAATAAGCCTAGACCCACATGTCAGTTCTTTCTATCTCATAATGATATGTGTGGCCCCACTTTTCAGGAGTAACCAAGCGAATAATTTTACAGGAAAATAAGAACGCTGTTGGGATCAAATGGGCCCCATACTTTATTGTAGTGAGATAGAGGGAGAGCTGGCATGTTGGTTCATAGGTATTTATGTCATTATAACATAGCAAAAGAGATTTGAGATCACAATGATGATGTCTAGGGGTATTTTTGAGCATGTGTCTAATGACACGATGGCATTTTTGAGCAGTTGAAATTTCTAATGGCAAAACTGAGTAGTGGGACACAACCGGTCAGCTCAACTCTACATCGAGCGATGCATATAGTCATGATGGAGTATTTTACTTAACTTTATTTTAATTTTATATCGTCTTGTGTCTGGCGGCAGAAGGATATGATCGAAGCCGCCGTCCAAGGAACTCTCAACGTGATGAGGTCGTGCGTGAGAGCTGGGACGGTGAAACGGGTGATCCTGACGTCGTCGGACGCCGCGGTGTCCAGAAGGCCGTTGCACGGTGGCGGCCACGTGCTGGACGAGGGCTCATGGTCCGACGTCGAGTACCTCAGAACAAACAAGCCACCAATTTGGGTACATAATCTTTTGTGTGTGTGTGCAGCTGCTATCTCTCTTCCAGACATTTACATTCATGGAAATAAATCACGTAACGTTGATACCCGTTTTATGTACGTAATTTACATGGCAGGCGTATGCCGTCTCGAAGGTGCTTCTGGAAAAGGCGGCGAGTGAATTCGCGGAGGAGAACGGCGTCAGCCTCGTCACCGTGTTGCCCGTGTTCACCTTGGGTGCGGCGCCGCTCTCCAAGGCCAAAACCAGCGTCCCCCTCACCCTCTCCCTGTTGTCCGGTGAGAAAGGCGTCCATGCTATAGCATTTCTCACTTGTTTCTACAGCTCGGTCGGTGGTTGCCAACTGAGAGATGTGGCGACTGGCAAGCAAGCTCTCATTCCAATCCGGTGTTCTTCTGACATGGTGTCCGCTTGACATGTGCATTTACCAGGCGACGAGACATTCCTGAACATGCTGATAGGCCTGCAATTGATCACCGACTCCATGGCGATAAGCCACGTTGAAGACCTATGCCGCGCCAAGGTGTTCGTGGCCGAGAACGAGTCCTCCTCCGGCAGGTACATCTGCTGCAGCCACAACACTACAGTTCTGCAGCTCTCCCGTTTCTTGAAAGAGAAGTATCCACAATACAATGTGCAACCTGAACGGTACGTGAGTCGGCTGTTTAAAGTTTGGGCTGCTCGAATGCAGGCACGCAAATATTTATCTTTTATGTGGGTTTAACAACATCCAAGTATGCTTATGTAGCTTTGATGGATCCCCGGAGAAGCCCAAAGTGTGCCTGTCTTCTGAGAAGCTCATCGGGGAAGGGTTCGTGTTCAAGTATAATGACCTGGGTGAGATATTTGACAACCTCGTCGAGTATGGCAGGACAACAGGGATTCTTCCCTACTGATATGTACGCCGGCTGATGATCAATATGTGACCGGAACAAAATATTGTTGTCTCAAATAAGCCAGAAGCTCCGTGCTTGTGTTTTTGTAAAATAAGATGTTAGTACCCGAGTTGCACTATCCCGAGGATCCTCGGGCTACAGGAAATATGTTTTCTACAACTACGGGATCACCCCAACATATTCTATCCATCGAATATACAACTACCTAACCACCGGCCCCCTGGCGACTTATATAAAGGTGAACAAGTTTTCACTGGAAGAGAAGGTCACGCGGGTGCAAAATTTGATAGATCAGAAAACTCCATTGCAATTCTTTCATATTATCAAACAAACATAGGTAGGCATGCCATAGCCTCTACTCATACGTGGGTCTAAACCTGGGTAAAACAACTATGTCATCATCACTGCTGACAAGATCTCTTTGGACCCCACCCCCTCCCTATTATCTTTCACAACACGAGCGCTCATTTTTTTTCGAAACGGAAGCAAAAGATTTGCCTCATCTATTAAATAAGAAGAGGATAGAATTTGTTACAAGGGCACACTTTTAGACGGCATGGAAGATTACTCACACAAAATAATGTTCCCTAGTTTTTCTGCTCCGGCGGTGATCCAAAGGTTTGCCTCGCAGATGATGTTGTTTAGCAAGACTGGTGGCGGAGCACTCTTGTTCCGGAAAACACGGGCATTCCGCTCGTTCCAAATGGTCCATGACACGAGCATGGTTAGAGAGGCCATGGCCTTCATGTTGGGGACTCCGGCGCCGGTCCTATTTGTCCACCATTCCTTGACCGAACTCTCAAGATGCCACATAGAGGTGTCCATATGATGAAGCCCAAATTTTGCAATGACCAAGTTCCATAGCCTAATAGTGAAGCGGCACTTGAAGAAAAGGTGCGGTCCACTTTCTTGCTCTCGCTTGCAAAGGGTGCAAAGACCACCATTTGGCCATCCACGTTTTTGTAGTCTATCCGCGGTCCAAATTCTGTCTTGGATAGCCAACCAAGCGAAGAATTTAGCCTTTGCTGGCGCCCAAGTTTTCCAAACCATTTGGTCCATGGGAGAGAGAACCAAGCCAAGGAATTGGGCCTTGTAGGCGGAGGCTGCAGTGTAGTGCCCGCTTGTCGTATGCTTCCACACAATAGTATCTTCAGAGAGTGCATCCAGATGTACATCATTCACAAGTGTCCATAGTGTGAAGAATTGTCGGATGTGCTCAGCGGAGCCAACCGTGGAGGTGTTGATCTTGAGGATCCATGCATTATTTTGTAGGGCCTCCCGCACCTTCCAATTCTTCCTTGAGGAGGCCACAAAGACGAGCGGGGCAACGTCCTTAGGCTTGCACCCATGGAGCCAGGGTGAATCCCAAAAAGGCATTTTAGCGCCGTTCCCCATGGTGATGGTCGTGGATGCATAGAAGAAGTCAAGGTCCTCCTCATTACATGGATTTCCCAAGCCCACCCACAACTTTTGTGGTGCCATCCATTCAAACCATGGCCATCTCAAGCACAAGGCCCACGCGAATTTATCGGTGTTGAGAACCCCTAGGCCGCCATATTCGCACGGGCGGCAAACCATCTCCCAGTTTACCTTGCACTTGGCGCCCGTCGTCTTATCCGATCCCGACCAAAGGAAAGCCCGCTCCAGTTTGTTGATATTGTGAAGAATGCCCGGCGGTATGACCAAAGATGTGATGAAATAGACCGCTTGCGAGGTGGCGACAGACTTAACAAGTGTCGTCCGTCCAATGGTGGTGATGTTTTGCCCCTCGTATGTCACCAACTTGGCCGCAATTTTGTCCTCAAGAAATTGCAAATCCACCTTCTTAAGCTGCCAGACGGACAATGGAAGACCCAAGTATCTTATGGGGAAGGACGCCCTGTTAGCTGGCAATCCTTGCAGAATGTGCTCCAGGTTTAGGTGATTGCATAGAATGGGCACAACCGAGCTCTTGTGAAAATTGGTGCATAGTCCGGTGACCTCCCCAAATCCGCGCAAAATGGCCGAGAGGTTGTCAATATCTTTTTTGATTGGAGCCATGAAAACAGCCGCATTGTCTGCATATAGTGAAGTTCGCACCATGATCCCTCTCCCACGAATTTTGTGGAGTAGTCCTTTTCGGGTTGCCAGCTCCAGTAGTTGTTGGAGTGTGTCAATTGCAATGACAAAAAGGAGCGGGGATAGGGGGTCCCCTTGCCGAAGGCCCCTACCGTGCTTGATTGGGTTGCCAGCCACCCCGTTTAACAGAATCCTAGAAGATGATGTGCAAAGAAGAGCCGCAATCCAATCCCGAAACTTGGGGGAAAACCCCCTCCGCCGAAGGAGGTCGAGGATGTATTCCCATCTGACCGAGTCGAAGGCTTTGCGTATATCTAGCTTGAACAGGAGAGACGGAGTCTTGCATTTGTGTAGCCTACGGGCCAAGTTCCGGACACACATGAAGTTATCGTGGATACTTCTGCTCTTGATGAATGCACTTTGGGCGTTAGAGACCAAGCTGTTCATGCGCGGGGCGAGACGGATGGAAAGAATTTTTGCGATAATCTTGGCGACGGCATGAATGAGACTAATGGGCCTGTAGTCCGCAATCCCCTCCGCGCCCTCTTTCTTGGGCAACAGCACTATATTTGCGGAGTTGAGCCAATGGAGACTAGATGTGTGAAGGGAGTCAAACTGGTGTATCAACTTAATGACGTCCCAACACTTCTTAAAAAAGCTCCAGTGAAGCTGTCTGGGCCGGGCGCCTTGTCACTTGGCATGTCATTGATTGCCTCATGTACCTCCTCAACGGTGATGGGTGAGTCGAGGCCGTGCAAGTCATGTACCTCTAAGTTGAGCTCCTCCCAGTTTAGATCCTTATTGCACGTGTTTCCTTTTTTCATCACTTCAGAAAAGTGGTCCAGAATGAGCTTCTCCTTAGCGTCATGCTCGGTGATCCACCCTTGGTCATGTTTTAGCCTATGAATGTGATTTTTCCTCCTTCTAGCATTAATCCGGCGATGGAAGAACTTGGTGTTGGCATCACCCTCCTTGAGGTTAGCAATTCTCGCACTTTGCTTTTTGCGAGCTCTCTCAAGCACGGCCAAGCTAATGACCCTCCTTTTAAGCCTCGCCCTAAGGTCACTCTCCTCGGGGGAGAGTTGTCGGGTCTCTTGAGCGATGTCGAGGCGTAGGATCACGAATAGTGCAGCGTGTAGGTGAACCTTTGCCTTGGAGAAAAGGCCCCTACTCCATTCGGAAAGGCAGAGAGCCACCTTCTTGAGCTTATGGAACAGGACTTGATATGGCTCAACATGCTCGAGCGGCTCAATCCAAGCCTTTTTGACCACCTCCATAAAGTCGGGCATAGCAATCCAAAAAATTTCAAACTTGAAGGTTCTAGGCCTCCGAGGCCCCTTGTCATCTGCGAGGAGAAGCGGGCAGTGATCGGATAGAGAGGACGAGAGGGCGTGAAGCAGATGAGTGCTGAAAGTGGTGTCCCACTCGGCATTGCAAAAAAACAAGTCCAGTTTGCACATAGTCGGGTTTTCCCTCTCGTTGCTCCAAGTGAACCTCCTATTTTGCAGGTGTATCTCTTTAAGCTCACAACTTTGCAGTGTCGCTCGAAACCGATTAATTCTACTTCGATTAACATGCCTTTTATTTTTGTCTCTTGCACGATAAATTTGGTTGAAATTCCCAGCCGCAAGCCATGGCATGCCATTGGGCGGTTTTTGGCTGATAAGCTCCGCGAAGAAGGCATCTTTGCGAGAAGAATCCGCGGGGCCGTACACGGTGGTGAGCTTGTATTGCACATCGGAGTCACGAATACGGACCATGGCGGACAGGCAGAAGGTGGTAGCTGTGATGTTGGACATTTTCACAAGGTGATCGTCCCAGAGCAGCAAAATGCCTCCACGAGTGCCGTCCGCCGGCCTTTGCGCAAAACTGCGGAGTCTGCTCCCTCCTAAGAAGGAAGCTGTGAAGATGTCGACATTGTGAAGCTTTGTTTCCTGTAGACACACAATATGGCAAGAAGAAGCAGCGATGGTGGCGCTGACAGTAGCTCGTCTATCCGGACAGTTGAGGCCCCGGACATTCCAACACATAACATTGATAGGTTGCACTAACATGGCAACATGGAGTATACTTCTGAGCTTGGCCACATGCCACACACAACCCAGCTATGGTTTTGCTTGTGCCATGCAACCCAACCACACTTACACGGACCAACACACATGGACCAGGATTTAGCTAACATAGAGAACATTTCAACCCAGAGACATCAATTTGCTCAGGTGGAGGCCTGCAGAGCAGTAGCGGCATCCTCCATCCTCTCCATGTCCATAGCACCCTCCCCTCCGTGCTAGATGAGGGCGTCCTCCACACCCATTGCCTGCAAATCATCTAACCTAAACAAGTCTCGCATGGCAGATATCACCTCCAGCGGCAGCTGCTCCTTGAAACGCTCAGCAAATGCATCCAGGGCCTTGGCCGTGATGTCTTCTCCGTCCTTAACGATCCCCAGACTACGAGCAACCAGGATCTCAGTCGCCTTAGCCGATGGCGCCGGCACCACCCTTGCTCTGCCAGCAGCTTTGAGCCTTGCACTGGTCCTGTGCAGCGAGAGGTCCGCACTTGTTCGGGCAATGTTCACTCCAGCAAGAGTCTTATGACGCGCAGCAGGAGGCCTGGGAGTCGTTGATGCAGGGGAGGGCAGCAAGGGCTCCTGCCGATCTTCAAAGAGCACGGTCAGGCCAACCCCAGCTGGCTGCAGATCAGCAGCAGCCCTGCGGAGCCGCACCGGGGATGGCGTGCGCTGAAGCGGCCCATTGGAGATGAGCGGGGGGGTGGGCGAAGCCTCGAACCCAGGGGGCTTCACCGGCGATAGAGGAGGGAGCAGATGCGTTGGTGAGCACAGCTGCAACACCGTCGGGGACGGGACCGCCAGAGGTGCTGTCACTGCCCGAGCCTCGTCCCTCCTGGAGCAAGCAAGTCGAGGCAGCACCGACGTGGGGGAA